TTGTTCATCTGCTTCAACAATTAAGAGACTAAATTATAATAATTGCTCTCAGCTAGTGTTTGTTAATAGAAATGGTAACTAAATAATGTCCATTATTGAAAATCTTCTGTTTTTTTTAAAACAACGTAATCACTATTCGTTCTTTGGTTGTTCAATTAGTTGTACATGGATTATGTCAATAACGGAATCCAGTCCTAAACTTTCATTCTATTTGTGTCTGAGGCACGAGGTTCCTATATTTGTTCTCTCGGCACATGCTACTTATGCTTTTATTGATCGTGTTTAAATTTTGAATGTTTCTTGAAGCACTTTGCGTTACAACTTTTGTCTCTCATGCTTGAAGTCCTTCTGCATTTTCAGATTTGGAGTTTGTTAGTTATTTCACTTTTCCCTCATGATATCTAATAGAATATATTATTGTGCAGGCTGAAAGGAAAAAGGAAAGGTTCAAACAGGTACTCATTTTATGCTATTATTGATTTGTTTTGTATCTTTTGGTAAACAATACAATATATATGATACTTCACACATTCTTTAAACAAATCCTTTGCCGTTTGATACCATAGCTGAAGGTTGCTTGCTATCGATGAATATGTAGTCATGGCTGATAATCATCATCTATAAATTTAATTTGAGTTTTCATTCTTAATTGTGAGGACTTTTCCTAATCTAATTTTATTTTCAATGTGCCATTGGTTTCTTTTACACCAAGCATCTCGAATCTTCTATAGTATTATTTTTAAATTTGTTAAATACAACTCCTTCCTTTCATTTTTTAAATGTTTTTTATATTACTATTTATCCGAAATTTTCAAAGTTCAAAGTGATATAACTATTTTTTTTTTTTCAATAATACTTTAACTATTTATTGAAGAAAGGAAAATGCGTAGGATGAGATAAAAACAGTCAAGAGTATCACAAGAAAAAGATGAAATTTAATATATTTTTTGAATAAAAATCCTTAGTATTTGTAAAAAAATTTAAACCAACAGTTAAAAAGAAGCGTAAATTTTGAATCACTATTTGGTGTATAGATGTAGAATCGAACACTCAGACCCAACAATAAATATGTAGAGGCATAATCATATTCCAAGAAGTAAACTCATAGAGATCCTTAATAATTTCACCATTGGGTCCAACAAAAAACTGTTGATTAGGTGAACCTGTAAGGGTTTTAAAATGCAAACCACATCACATGATGTGGTTCACAGAGGTATCAGCCTGCAATTGCATTGTGTTTATAAATCACAGAAAAACCCGCAATGGCCACAACTCGTGATAGTTATATGTTTCTAGACGACTCTACTCCCCAAGTTTCGTTGATGTATCTTTCATTGCCTACTGATGAAGAGGACATGTCATCAGCTAGTTTGATTGGAAAGAGGAATTACTGGCATACCACCAAAGCCCAATCAGGTATCCATTTATGCAGCAAGACTACAGTTGTGGGCTGCTCACTATTATTAACAGTATGTTCTAGAAGACAGCAGGTTATCTATTGCGCCTAGTTGGTAGTTTTATGTTGGGCAGAAATTAATAAGGAACTCTACGAGAGTACATCTTGAAATATGCTGCATGCTAGAATCTTTAGTATCGTATTTGCTTCCTCTACACACTTGCAGCTGCTTTTTAGTAACCAGTGGCGGCACAGACGCTGCAGTCGTTTTTTGTTGTTTGGCCACTATAGCGTCACTATTGGGCTGCAAAAGTGGACCCTGTCGTAAACCCCAAAATTGGCTTAAAATTATAAGGTTATAGGGGATAGGTTTGGGGTATTCCCATTGTTCGTTATGAATCTAAAGTTTTTATTTTTTATTCTGAGCATTTAGATTTATTGTGTATTAATTTTTATTTATTTATATAAAATGCTTTGGAATTCCAATGTGCACTATTTGCTTTAGCGCAATGAGAGATTCTTTTTTGAATTATATATTCAAATTGTTTATTTGTATATATGATCCATGTCGGAACATTATGAAACTATTTGATCCATATAAATTAACCAGGACCACCTAGTGAGAAAGAACTTTCGTATAAATTTTGAATCATCCATCTCATAACATTTGTGAAAAATTTAGAATTTTCAAAATTCTTTTTTAATACACAGGATAATATGGTGTATTCGAACTAACATAATTTTCTTAATGATTTGTAAATGCTGTCTGTCATTTATACACTATTTTTATAACTGAATATTCTACCCCTTTTGTCTTCAAAAAAAGAATATTCTATCCTTTAAATAAATTTTCTTTTAATATTATTTTAAATTTGAAAGAGATAATGTACAATGTACTGTTTATACTAAGTAGTTATTATGAATGCACATGTTTGGTTGGTTCTTGAAGTTTGCTTGTATTTGATACGGAAAATCAAGAATAGGCAAGTCAATTCAGATTCTCACTCTGAAAGATTTAAGAGGTGCAAAAGAATTAGTTTGGCAAGTATGATTTTCAAGTGTGTTTTGTTTCATCACTTCATGAAGCTTGTTAGTTGTTAGTATTGTATTTTTAGTTGTTAAGCATGTCATCTCTACAAGCATGTCATCACCACAAGCATGTCATCACTACAAGCAATGCTTTCAATGTAGAATAGATGTTAGTTATATTATAGATAGTGATTGGATGACAACTGACCTGGTTTATTTATGTGCAGCTTATGGAAAAAGTGATTCCTGTCGCAGAGCAGCGAAGGCCACCAAGGTTACTCCGTAGGGTTCGTTCCTTGCAATGGTAGATCATACTTGCTAGTGATGCAGGGTGTGAAAGCTGAAGATTGTGGGAAATAATAAAGTGGGCAAATTAATCATTATCTATTAAATTATAATGGTTAGTCTCAACATTAACATGGTTAATGATAAAAGGAGATAGAAGGAATCAGAACCTGAATGGCGAGAGAACTACCTATTAACATAAGAGTTAGCTTTTGTTTATTCTAAGGAGATAAAAGCAGAATTACCAGTTGGACCATGTAGTTTAGATAGAAAATAGGAATCCCGGTCTCACCCCTGTGCTGAATGTCAAGGTAATGCTAGTAGAGAGCAAGGGGATTGTAGACGAGTATATAACATAGGCTTGGTTTAGAAATATGATATTATTTAGAAAAAAATATTATATATAGAAATTATTTATGTGATCAGTGTCATTCAGTCTTGAAACTTCTGTGCTTGTGAAGATAACTTATTAACGTAGAGATGAGTTGAAATTTAGCTTAATTTTACAAACTGATGGTGTTCTTGTTGTGCAGTTTGCATTTAAGTAAGACAGAAAAGGTATTAGGGAGATAAATATACTGCATCATAAGCAAAGTTTTGACAGACCAAAGGCATAAATAGATGCATTTTTGTTTTGGTATCTTAGGTTAACAGAGTTAACTATTGAATTTTGCATTCAAGGAAAATACTTACTTTCAAAGATTTACTATAATTTATTTTCACCTAATATGGTTTCTTAATATTTTGGTTGCCATGTTTATGGTTGTCACTACACTAAGTGTAAATCACGGAAAGCTTAGTTATAGATTATAAAATAGATTGATAGGGAAGGGGAAAAGACAAAGTAGATATAGGACAAGAAATATGATGCTTCCTCTTTGTTTTCTACCCAGTGGTGGTTTCATCATCTGTATTTAACGGGGGACCATTTGTTGAGCTTAACAAACCTGCTACCATAGAGAAAGACGTGTCTATTTTCCTCTCCTTGTATGCGACCTAATTACCGTTGCTGCTGCAATAACATTATAGTAACTCTTATTACCAATTATCATAAATAAATTCTCCAAAAAAAAAAACTACTATCATATATAGTAAAGAATCTTGACATAATCTGGGAAGATAATTGACAAACCAATATCAATTATGGTACTGATGTAATATATATTAAGTCTTCTAACCCTCCAAAAAGGGTAGAAAAATGATGTCAATCAAGAAGTGTTTAAGATGTCAATGAAACAGATTATTTTTAATAGAATTTAATATTCTTTATATATATTTCTTATTTTGTTTTCCCTCTGACCATATAGTTATTTCATTGTACTACTATGTATGGACAAGAAGTATAAGGACATCATAACTTCATAGCCGTAGTTGGAAGCTTTATTTAAAAGTTCATGAAGTACAATACAAAAAATTGTAGCTAAGAATTTAAATTTGAAAGCAAAAGAATAAAAATGCAAGACATACCTAATCCAAATTATCCAATACTTAATTTATATCCAAACAAATATAAAATTAATAACCATGGCTAGGTAATTAAATTCCCTCTTCTCAATAAACTTACATTAGCTTACAAGTAGAAAAATTGATACCTTGAGCGACATTGCATCAAAATATGAGCAGCATTGCATGGCACAAAACAAAGGACCGAGAATCCTTTAAAAAATACTAAGTGGGTTAAAGAAGAAAGGCTTTTTTTTTAATTTTTAATTTCTCACAAACCAAGGAGAAAGGCTTTTGAATTGAAAAATAAAAGACTCACCGCATATGATATAATCAATGGAGTAATCATTTTAGAATAATAATAGTAATCCCCATCATCATAATTCAGTGAGCCAGAAATTTCCTTGTGATTATGTTCCTTAGCATTTTTGTTCACCTTTTATTTTTCTCCCATAGTATAATTTTGATTGAAGATAGGTTTTCAAGAAACAAAATCATGCAACCTTTTCCTATGTAAAATAATCTATCTTAACACCATATCCAACACTCATGTCTGGCATCCATTCAAACTCTTCCTCATCAAAAGCCAAACACTCCTGACACTTTAACAGTCTCCATCCCCACTTTCTCTCTCTCTCGCTCTCTTTGCCCCACACAAAACACAGTTTTCAAAATTCTTTTCTTTTTCTTTTTTTAAATCTTTATAGTACTATTCCATAATTATTCAGAGATGGGCCAGAGATAAAAATACTCATAACATAAAAGCCACAAAAACCTCTTCTCATTTAACCTTGTCTCTGATATTTTCCTTCAAAGAAAAAAACAAATCCATTTCATTTTCATCACAATGTCTCTTCCCATTTTCCTTTTCTTTCTTATACCATCGTTGTTCTTCAAGCTTTCACATTCAACCACAGTTCTAGTAGATGGATCTTTAGAGTGGAAGAATCCTACTGTTTATATTGGTGATTCCATCAGTAAGTCCTAACACCATGGTTCAGTTTCTCTCTCTTTCCTCTCTGTTTTTACTCTGTTGTCCATCTTATAATCCTCTGTTTTCTCTCTGTTTTCACTCTGTTTCAGTTTTCGAGCACAAGCAGCACTATAATCTCTGCATTTTCAAGAACCAGAAAGCCTTCAATATCTGCAATTTCACTGAAGCTACACTTCTCACTGATCCCAACACTACTTCCTACACGGTAATACAATACCCTTCAAAATTTCATCTGGGTTATTTGAAAACACCTTAAAAATTCAATCTTTTTTGTTTTTCCTTGTTCTTCAGTGGCACCCTTCTCGCGTTGGTTTCTTCTACTTCACCTTCTACAATGACTCACTCAAAGCTTGTCAAGATTCACAAAAGCTAGCCATTAAGGTAACTTCAGCAACATCTGCAGCACCAGAAGCTTCTTCTCCAACTGCAACTACTCCAGCTCCTTCTTCTGGTGGAGATGTACAGTCTTCTCCTTCATTTCCATGGCCTTTTCGCCCTCATCAAGGTTCCTCTTCACCAGGTCCAGCACCAACACCAGAAGCAAGTTCACCGGTAACAGTTCCATTAGTACCGTTTAAAGGTAGTGGTGATGGTATGCCTTTTATTAACAGTAACCCTGCAGTTCCTCTGCCTACTGGTGAGGTTGATTCTGCTACCATAAATCCAATTCCTACTTCTGGTCATCAACGACAGGTTCCTATACTCTTCTCTCATTCTTTTTTTTTAAAAGTATGCACTCATTAATGTTTAGCCTTCATGCAATTGGTTATGTTGTCAATTGTCATGCACTTTTTACTGAGATTACAAAAACTATAATTATGAGTGCATTTGGTTTAATGGTGGTGAAAATTTATACTAAAGTTTCAATTGATGTGTGTAAACCTAAATGTGTGTGTTTTGTGCTAAACACCATTAAAATGTGTTTGTTTTATGCTATATCAAGCTAAGCAGTTTTTGTGGTTTATTAGTGTTAAGAGTCTCCCAACATGTGCTTATAAGATAGTAAGTGATAGCAATCCACATCTTATATAACCTATGGTTGAGTTGGGCCAAACCACACGTTCTTGACTTGGTATTAGAGTTTGGTTTAAGATTCGTTAGCTATCATATTTTCAATTGGGCCACCCACCATTTATTTTCATTTTTTAGATCTTCAGTCCTAAGTGTGAGAGAGTCCTAAGTGTGAGAGAGTGTGTTAAGAGTTTCATATCGAACAATATATAACCTAAATATGTGTTTATAAGTAGGAGCCATCATCGGCATAAAAATCAGTTTTATATGGTTCACTTAAGTCAAATGATACATTCTTAGTAACAATTAGTTATAACAAGCAAGCAAGTATTAAAACATCTCTTATGCTCAGCACTTTGATGTGATTTATTTGCAAATTATCAAGAATATGAACCATAAATGTGTTTATTTGTAAGATGTTGATAGTATCAAATTGGTGAATCACTGATTGGGAGTTGATTTCTATTGTGAGTGATTGCAGGTGATGATTGGACCATTTGGATTTCATTTTGCTATGCACATTATGGCTTTGCTGTTGGTGTAAGAAGATAGAGTTATTTTGTAGGCCATATTTATGTAAAAAATGGGGTAGGGAAGGTAAACCAAATTAAATGTGGTGAAATGGGTATAAAGTAGCTTTAAGAGTGATGATTATACCATGTATTAAGATGCTCTTACATTCTACTTTAGAGTTTTAGTACTTTTTGCAATGTAATTTGTTTCTACTTTTGCTTTTTATTAATTATTCCCTTTTTGATTTGATGTTAATTATTTATGGGGTCTGAATATGAATGACTATATAAGAATTAAGATGATTAGATACAATGCAACATAGCCACATGGTGGTGGGGGACTATGAGTCTCAAGTCAGGTCATTCTCTAAAACACTGCTTGGCCCACTGATTTTGAATTTGAATTCAATAAAGTCAATATTATGAGTGCTAGCATGGTCAGAATATCGGCGGTGACTGTTAAAATCAAGATCGTATTGGTGGTGACTGTTAAATCGAGATCTTATCGTTTAATATTGTTGAAACCCTTTCCAATCAAAATCTAAAATCACTGTCTTAGAAAATAGTATAATATATAGTTATAAATGAACATTGTATATTAACATAAAATAGCCATATTGTAGATATTTATAATGTAGAGAGCCAATCATAAATTGATAAACAACTAGTTCAATTGGTTTTTCTATTGGTTCTCTCCGATTATAAAATTTATCTCCTTTTGGATCAAACAAAATTTAATTTTTGAGAATTTCTTAAAACACCATATAGTTTTTAAAATGTACCACGCGAAAATACATAAATATTCATAGATATCATAAATGTATTTTCGGAAGTATCCTGAGTCAGATTTTTGGGGCTTGCGTGCCCGTGCACATTTTTTGGGCCTGCGTGCTCGCTCTTGTAATTTCCGAACATCGTCGGCCTTTTTGGTCGGTTTATTTCTATTTGTTTTTTGCTTGCAAACTTTTGAATGAATGTTCTTTCGACCTTAATTTTTTGCCCGTGTCTCTATTTTCATATATTGTGATAAAATTTGCCTAAGTTATGTCCCCGAGTCTCATCTGTGCTCGGCCGTCACTGTGGCAAAAATGTCCCAAGTTTTTTCCTTGGGACATGCTTGTGCTCGGCTTGCTATTTTTGTGGCGAATTTCGCCTAAGTTACAACCTCGAGGAGAGAATCTTTTCGACCCTTTGGATGGTCCGACGTACTTCGAGATGCGTCGGTCGTGCGGAGTAAAGCCGCTTACTCGGGCGTATGACCCGGATTGGGGTCGCTTGCCCGTGGCGTGAACTGTCCATCGTGAGCTGGGTGTTCTGCCATACGGGTACTTCGACGGTGGAGCTCGATTGAGGTGTCCATGTCGGGCACTGTCGTTCACGCTCGTTTGGCTGAGCGACGTTGTGTCATTTGGGCGTAGATTGGGCCTGTACCTTGGCCTTTCTACGTGGTCGAGACGTTTCTCCCCGTTGATCGAACGTGGATGTCTGAGGGTGAGAGTCCTTGGTGTTAAGGATTTTTAACTATAGTACTGCTTTAGTTTAGCAGCGTTCCAGGGTCATGGTAGTGGTTCTCCGTCTAGTTGCTCGAGGTAATATGCCCCGGTACCTGTGGTGCCGTGGACGCGATAAGGCCCTTCCCAGTTCGCGGCTAATTTCCCTTCGCGGGAGTCTTTTTGATTTCTTCGTAACACCAGGCTGCCGATTTCGAACTCGCGTTTAATGACCTTGTCGTTGTGACGCAGGGCCACTCGTTGTTTTAGGGTGGCCTCGCGTAGGGCCGCCCCCGATCGGATTTCCTCGACTAAGTCGAGTTCATCCCTGAGGGCCTCGTCGTTCATTTCTTCGTCGAGGGGATCTTCTGTCCGCCTGGAGGGTTCCCGGATTTCAACTGGGATGACTGCCTCGGTGTCGTATGTTAGTCGAAAGGGGGTGTGATCGGTGGATCTGGAACTAACTGTTTAACGCTGGTTCGCGAAATGTCGCGGAAGCAAGAGTCGCCACCGTCTTTTATTTTCTCCAAATGGAAAGGACAAAAGCACAGAAAAATTCCTTATAGAGATTGCTCTCGGTTCGGGAGGTAGGTTATAGAAAGGGAAGGTGTTAGCACCCTTTCTATCCATGGTTATCCATGGGCTCTTAGATACTTGCTCATTGTGTTTTCAAAAATGGTTTGCTTTTCAACTGTGGGTTTTAAAAAAAAAATTCTTTGAAAATTCCAGTTCGACTCTTGTATCGGTCCTCAAGAGTGTTTGAAAAAATGCTTTGGAAAGCTTTTTGAAAATGTGTTGGTGTGGAAAGTATTTTGAATTTGTTTTGAAATTAGAGCAAGTATCTTAGAGTTGTCTACCTACCCTAAGGAATTTGTCTGTGTAGATGTCCTTTAAAGTAGTGCCATCCCACCATTGAGAGGTAGGTAGCACCACCGTTGGAGGTGTTCGGGTCAATTCGTAGTTTGGGACATGGTGATCACCAGAGCAATGGGAAGACACCTTAGAAGTTACCCTCATGCCAGGTTCCCGGATCATGAGGACTTGCTAAGACATCCTCTACTCGACGATCACCTTTCGAAAGGCAACAGTGAGGCGTACCCTAGGGGTGGTGTGTGCGATTCGTGTGTTGTTTTCAGTTATTTCGTCTTGTCATGTCATTGGTGTTCTACGCTTGTTTTTATTTTGTCCATACATTCTTTCATGCTATTTGTTTAACAGTTAAAATATTTGCGGGAAAGTAAATTCTAAGCTATTACAAAAGGCGCGGGTCCACATCGCCAAAAGTTTCTCGAACCCGATTTGACAGAAAATAAATAAAGTAAAAGAAAATAAGGAATTAAAAGTACGAGCAATTATTTACACGGCTTTGGGAGAGATACATAAATATTTACACGAAATAAAATAATATGCGAATTAATAATTAAATCGAAATGAGGGCGTTGGACCCTTTTTGCAAAGTTAAAGTAATGATGAAATTAATAAAAATTAAAAGAAAGAAAGAACGGGTTTTTTGATATTTTTTAGTGTTTTAGGATTTAATAGAAAAAAGAAATTAATTGAAACTAAATGCTAACCCTAATTCTATTTTATTTTTAATTTATTAAGAAAATATTGAGTTTTAACCTAAATTAACCCTAATTTTTATATATAAATTTAATTATGAAAATAAATAATATAATATTAAATATTTGATTATCATGAAAGAAAAATAAAAAGATAAAAATTAATCAAACCTAATTCTATGTTTTTTAATTTTATTATGAAAATATTAAATTAAAACCTAATTTACACTAAATGCATATTTATTTATAAAAATACTAGAAATAAAAATATTTATTATTTTAATTTTTTTCTGATTTTTATGGTCTTTTTATATTTTGTGAAAATAATAATTAAATTAACCAAAACAATAATTAAAAGGAAAAAAGAAAAATAAAATAAAAAAAGTAGAAGGAATTGCAAACCTATGGGGTCTGCCCCTGATTTTGGAGGTGAAAGTTTAAGAATTCTGGCCCATTTAGCATGGCCCTTTTGACTTTTTGCATGACACGCACATACGCGTTGACTAGGGCGCACTGTGTTCCTCAATCCATGGCCTTTGATTTGATGAAGCTGGACGCGTGGACATTGATCTTTGAGGATGCATAATGGTCTTTGTTATTGAAACTGCATAGGAATCGTTATTGAAAAATAATATGGAAATATGGAAGACCTGGGGCTCGAACCCAGGTCATGTGTTTTACCAACCCTTATGCCTGCCAGCTGAACCACTTTGCTTTTCTGTAATTAATATGACAAACAAATATAATAAAAAAACATGCGTTAGCGTTTCGTTATTCGCACAAAAATTTAAAAGAACCAATCATGGCCGGCCACGAGTTCGTCTTCTTCGCGTGTTTTATTTTCCTGAAATAAGAACATATTAAGCAACGGTTTTCTGAGCGTTTTCTTAGGCCGGTTTTGGAAAAATAACGATTAGCCCTATGACGCTCATAAATTGAGCGCGAGCATGGCTTCTTCTTCGTCCAGCCACGCTGATTCCAATGGTGGTGGTTTCACACTCTAATTTTCCCTCATTTAAAAAGCCCTAATCCAAGGTCCTGTAAACCCTAGAAATTGACAATGGTATAATCGTCTATAGCTTGCAAAAATTCAATTAAACGCATGGGTTAGCTTTAGAATCATACCAGGAACATGAATCAATAATTAAAATGCCATGAAAATGCATAGATTTGAAAACACGATTATGAATTTTTCATGAGATATTTCAAGTTCTGTATACCAATTCCTTAAGCTTTGAAGAATGTTCTTGATTGGGAAACGTTCAGTGATGCTTGAGGAAGCTAATGAGATAAAAATCGTGCCTTGAATCAACCTGCAAAGATGTTTTCAGAATTGAATTTTTTAGACAAAATTTCAAGTTTGATTTCTAGGTTTCTCAGCAGCTGCGTGTGTCGGATGATTAGGTTTGTGTTTTGGCTTTTGTATTGAGTCAATTAGGTCAACAATTCTGAGCAAAATCTCTTTCATTGATGGTTTTGAAGATTTGATTTCCAAGCATTATTTTTCAATCTTTTTCCATGTGCTTTTTGTACAAATCATGATCAATCAATCCAAATCTTTCCATATTTAGCTAGGCACGAAATCTTGATGATATAATGTGCACAAAAAGATTGAAAAAATTAGGTTAAGCATTTTTCATATATTTATTTTAATTTAAATGAATTATTATTAATAAAAATCCAAATAAATAAATAAAAAATGAATAAAAACTTCCCTTTGGGCCAAGTGGTCGTGCACATGTCATGGATGATGAATTATGGAGGAAAAATGGGCCCATTAGCAATTTTAGGTCATTTGAACCAATGTTGACTTTTCAAAATATCCAAAAATTTCCCAACTTCCACAAGGCATAACTTGCTCAATTTTTAAGCTTTTCTCATGTTCTTGGACATTTTGGAAAGGTCTTTGAGTCCTCTAACCAATGTCTTTGGTCCCATGGCATTTTGATTTACCAATCTCAAGTTATGGCCTTTGACTTA